AGGAGAAGCTACAACAGATGGCGGACAAGGTAGAGACGAACGAAAAAGAGCGAGAGAAACATATCAAGAAAGATATGGCGGATATGGAAAAACCGTGCGACACCGTGAATGAAAAATTGTGGAATCTAGAGACCAGAATGGACACAATGAGCAAAGAAAAAGCAGAAAATTATGGAGCCATACAGTCAAATTTGGAAGCACTCTTGAGAAAGTCCATAGCCCAAGATAAACTGTTTTGGGAGGCAGTGAAGAATCAAGCTCACCCAAAATAAAAATTGGAATTGACACCAGGAACAGACAAGTTGAAAATGACATGCAGAACATTGTGGCAGCAAGTGGGGAGTTATCAACGAAGACAGTAAAAGCCGTAACACAAGTCAAAGATGCCGCGGGGGCATGAGACAAGGAATTCACTAGAGATAAACTATGAGAAAGCAGCTGCAGATGCTATCAACAGAGTGAAGCAAGACTTGGTGACCAAAGAAATTGAGCAACGGCGAAAACATGAAATAGAAAAACAAAAGATGAATGAGACACTCTCGACGACGAGGCCAGAACCAGAGACCGGATAAAACTTAGTGAACAGGAGTAATTGCAATACCTTGAAGATGGTGACCGGCAAACCCATTTGGTATCACGAAGATTGGAGAGAAAATGATATCAATAATCACAGTGGGCGGTCATGAAGTAACGAGGAATCTGAGTGAACTGAATGATCAAACATTAATGTAACTTGATGTATATGCGGATTACTTGAGAACAATAAGCCCGCAAACCCTTTCTAGAGCACTAAGAGCATTACTCACGAGAGGTGGTGGCAAATCAATTCACATAGACAACAGATACGCAGAGGTATATGGTCCGCATGAGGTCATGTTGAACATAGATAAAAAAACATCTATACAAACACGATGATTAGATGTGATGAAGATCTAACCGGACAATCTATGTTGGCAGAGAAGAACTAAAAGTGTGATCTATTGGGTACTGTGCCGTGCTAGAAGACGATGCCATGCATCTGGAACGGAAGCAGACGTATCTGCACATGTATTGGACATAAGCGGGAATAAGACGCAACTGCGTGGCTTGTTGGACAAAGGAGCTGCCTTAAGTGCAATACCAATTGAAACTTGAAGAAAAATGGGATTTGACAAAGACAACTTGATTGACTCAAGAATACGGTTGTCAGCACAAAACAAGGGGGCGCTTCGGGTTCTAGACAGGATACCAATAATAGCCCTAAATCTGGGGAAACGCAATTTGTGGCTGAGTTTTCTGGTGGTGGAGAATCTAGATGATTCTGACCAATTCATTTTAGGCAGAGATTTCATCAGGAATTTCGATGTAACAATTGATCTTAACAACGCGATGTTCAAGATTTGAAACCCGGAAAAGAAGTACGTAATTAAACCGGTAAATTTGATAATGGCGAATGTTTATAAGGCTCCAATTTTCTTGAGTATGAGAGTAAGGCTGAAAGCGAATGAGGTGGCAATAGTAAGTTTGCGGATGAAAAACTCTAATGAACTAAGTGACAATAAACAAGTATGTAAATTAACGAACCTAAACAGTCAAAGTGCTGCTTTTTTAGGAACATCCTTATCGATAACCAAGAGTGACCTCTGCGTCAGTGTCTTGTTGAATACTCTTGATATACCAATCAACATCCAGAGGGGGAGGAAGCTGGGATACGCACTGCCCGTAAAAACTAGATATGAAATGACTGAACAAATGTGAAAAAAAAATGAAGTTCTTGATTGCCCAAATGATAGGGATAAGATTTGTATCTTGAAAAGATAGAAGAAAAAAGAATGTTCATAATGTGTTGTGAAGTCGCTTAAGTTAGAGACAGACGATGGACTTTTGAGCTGTTGGAACTTTCCAGAAAGACCCACTTCAGAGGAATTGGAAATGGATAAATCAGTAATAACAGAAATTGAACACTTAAGGGGAAACGTAACTGAGTAACAGCTCGAAGCCATCAAGGATGTTCTAGATAGGAATCAGGATGTTTTTTCGAGACATAAGGCAGACATCGGATGCTGTAACTTCGTTGAACATGAAATAGAACTAGAGGAGTCGGCGGTACCACACAGGGAGGGGGCGAAGCGTATGACCCCAAACAAATCGGATGCATGTAGAAAAGAGATAGAGACCCTAATAGAGTATGACATGATAGAACCATCCAAATCAACTTTCGATGAAGGCTACGAACAACGACCTCGACGAAGGCTACGAACAAACCCGAAAGGAGACCAACTTACGTTTTGTTGTGACTTTCGATATCTTAACTCCGTCACGATGAAGGATGTCAATCCCATACCTATGATAGATGAGAGCCTTTCAAAACTAGGTGACGCTAAATATTTTGCAACTCTTGATCTAGGGTCGGCTTTTTGGCAGGTGCCACTGAGGAAACAGCACGGGACAAGACGGGCTTTGCATGCTAGCTGGGATTGTTTCAATGGAAAAGGATGTCCTTTGGCCTTTGCAATGAGACAGCCACCTTCCAACGAATGATGGCACAAGCGCTGACAAGGTTAACGAAGAAGTACAAGAGTTTGGTAATTTGCTACGTAAATGACGTGGTGATTTCAACACCTACCCTGGAGGACCACGTTGAACGACTAGACGAGGTGTTCGCTTGCATAAACAGAGCAGGACTGAAATGCAAGCCATCGAAGTGTGATATTTTTAAGGGTTCGATTAGATACCTTTGGAGAATGGTTGTTAAACATGGCCTTAGACCAGACCTAGAGGCGGTAGAGGCAGTGCTGACGTGGAATTCGCCAAAAACGGAACAACAGTTGATGAGCTTCTTGGGTTTCGCGAGTTACTACAGGGAAATCATCGAGGGCTATGCGGACAAAGTACATCCAATGCAACAACTCATGATGCACAAGGGCAAGTAATTCACGTGGAATAACGCGGCAGAAGTGTCATTTCAAAGAATGAAGAAAGAACTGTGTGAAGCACCTGTGCTAGGCATGCCGACAGAAAAAGGAATGTACGTGCTGGATACCGATGCATCGGTAGTAGCGATCTCGGACATACTCCATCAAGAACAAGAGTGGAACGGAGAGACAGTGTTGAGACCGATCACCTACGGGAGAAAAGTCTTGAGTGATACGGAAATGAAGTACGGGGCACCAAAGCGGAGATGTGTGCAGTCGTCACTTTTGTGGAAAAACACAGGATATACCTGAGTAGCGAACCATTCAAGCTACGGGTCGACAACAGAGCACTCAGTTGGTTGAAAACGTATTCAATGAACCAGAGTTACATCGGGAGATGGATAGTGCGGCTAGATGGCTACAACATGATCATTGAACACAGAACGAGGGACAGTCATCAAAATCCTGACGGCTTGAGCAAGAAGACGGAATTCTACGAGAGACAGGATCAAAAGGAGGCTGATAGACTGGAGATCAAAGATGGTTATTCTTTCATGGACAAGGAAACATATGACAGCCTACCGCTCACGAGATGGCTAGATAAATCAGGAAAACCGATAGAGGACCATCCCGAATTACCAACTGAACATAAAGCAAAAGAAACTCTCAAAAAAATTTAGGGATGCCGATGGAAATAATGCTCAAGTCCTAGACAGTGACTGAAAACGCTGAAGGCAAAAAGCTACGACGAAGTGGAAACAGTAAAGGTGACGCTAGGAGAAGATCTAAGGAGACTACTCGAGAGAGCAGCAGACGACAAACCTGTGGTCCCGGAAAGTGGTAAAGACAGACCGGAAGTCACCATATTCAAAAGAGGGGAAGTAAAATAGGACGGAGACTCGATGAAAAGCAGGGAGCCAGAGAATAGGGAGGTTTTGGGAAAACTAGGCGAGAGAATCCCGGAAGAAGTACTCAGGCTGACGACGAAGAGAGAGTGTCTTACGAAGGAAGAGAGTGTCGTTCAAGGAGGAAGTTGAACGCCTGGGACTAGATCAAGAGTCTGGGGAGTGGCCGAAACCAGGAAGGGATGGCGAGGAAGAGAGTTTGTCCGGGGATTCGGAAGAATGGGATGATGGGTAGGAGGAGAGTGATGATGAGCAAGACAGTCTTTGTACAAAATAAGCTGAAGAAAAAATGAGGTACCACGACAGGGAGTTACAAACAGACCCTTCGTCAGGGACGTACAACCTGGAACATAATTACGTGTATGGAGGGAAAGAGCTTGAGAAGATAGCAGTGTCAAGAAAACCATTCAGGGAGCTATCCTGCAATTTGAACGTCAGGACGAATCTAGAACCAGAGGACGACAGGGAGGTCTTGAGAAGGATAGTTTGTGGAAGCTCAACGACAGCATCCACCATCCTGGAGAGATAAACGGTCAAATGATGGCATTTGAGGAACACATCAAAACGAGATACAGGCTGTCGGATCTGACACGAGCCCAGAAGAATGATAAAGTGACGAGCAACCTCTCAAATTGAATTCGGACGAGAGTGAAAGAGAAGGGAGACCTGGAAGGGGATAGTTACAAGATCTTGAGCCGGTTCTACAAGAGAGAAGGGACTTACTCTATCACACAGCTGATGGCGTGGTAGCCGGTAGGAGAAAAGATGAAGAAAAAACTCTACACAAGCATAACTTCATCATACTACCTCAGCTATACCAAAGGGAAGTGTTGTTCAGATTGCAAGACCAAATGGGACATCAGGGGATAGACAAGGTACAACAAAGACAACTACACCGGTTTGATTGGCCAGGGTTGAGGAAGGCTTGTGAAATATGGGTGAATGCATGTCTGTCGTGCTTGCAGGTGAAGGATCCTAGGAAAATGAAAGTCCCTTTTAAGTCTGTGGAAAACTCGGAATTTAACGAGGTCTTGCAGATTGATCATCAGAAGATCTGCATGACAGACTCGGGATATAACCAAATACTGGTAGGTATAGATCATTTTATGAAACTGCTGAAGCGGTACCATGTCAAACGGCCTCGGTGGAAGAAACTAGTGATCAATCGATAATGTATTGGATATTACGATGTGGTTGTCCGATGACATTCCAATCGGACAATGGGAAGGCATTCGCAGGGGACCTGACAAAAGAATTAATGAGAAGATCCCACAATTCGCAGGCTCATTCAACGACCTACCGTCCACAAACGAAAGGACTAATGGAGAAACAGAACAGAACACTAGTGAATATGCTCCGGGTGTATTGCTCGAGATTTATGACCTACTGGGACAAATATCTGCCGCAGCTGGTAGGGGCGTACAATAGCACGCAACACTTGACAACAGGGATCAGTCCCTTCATGATGTTAACAGGTAGAGAGAGAGAGAGAGAGGGAGAGAGCGCGATGCCCCTGACCTTGTTCTATCCTGAAAATGTGGGAAAGAAGACGTCGCCTCAGGCATATGCAAAGAAATCAGTCAGGAGACAACAGAAATTGAACGAGCTGTGCAGAAGGAACACAGCACAGGCACAAATGAGACAGCGGAGAAAGTACGACAGAAAAACACTTCAAGTGAAGCCGTACGTTGTGGGACAATACGTCTGGGTGTTTCAGAACATCATACCCCCACCAGGGACAAAAAAGCTATTGAAGAAACGGAGAGGGCCGTTTATGATAACGGAAGTGCACCAGCAGGAACAGTTCTACCGCTTGAGTACAGGGCGTGCGGCGCACTACGAAATCTGAAACCTCACGTCCCATCACAGAACATGGAAGGACTCGAGTATCTACTGGTAGAGTCAGCATGTGAGGTGAACTAGAAAGGCCCCAGAGGGAAGAATGATGGCAACGAGAACGTGAGCATGGATGACAACGAAAAAATAGAGATAGATTCGGACGGAAGATCTTTCGCCAAGGAAGATTGGAATGATCCAAAGCAAAACGAGGTACCAAAATGGACGGAACCAGATTTACAAATGACGAAAGAAACCAGAAAAGGTGGGCGTAAGAAGACAGACATGAGATACAACAGTTATGGCGATGACTTGTTGATCGCCTAGATACAGCCTGAAGAGATAGGAGAAGAGTTGGTGAACGTGGGTGAGCTGGTAGCCAATGAGGAATGGCAGATCATAAACGACAGTGAGCACTCCTTGCAAGAAGATCACACCATGCCAGAAAGAGAAATGGAACTAGAACAAAGCGAGATTGAAAGAAGGGAAAACACAAACCTGAGGATACTAGAGTGGATGCATAACCTTGAGGCTGACGAGAAGGAGGCGCAAAGCATTCAGCAAGTCGACGTATCTGCAAAGAAGAAACATGAACCCATTTTTCGGTTGGAAAGCCACTGACCGGCAACTGGAAATTCCATCGGATAACTTGAGCCACGGACCATCGACGGGGACGTCGATAAATAATTTTGTCGGGGGAGTGAGGGTAGGACTTACCCACACCGAAAATTTAACGATAAAGAATCTCAGGGAAGTGAGAGAGACCAACGGCCTGGAGCTGGATCAGGAGGGGGCTGAGCCTACCATTGGAAGAAATTTCAAGAATGAGTTCGAGATTCCGAATGAGTATTCGGAGAACATCCTGATCACAGACAGCGACTTCATCTTGTCTGATAAGACCAGCGCGATCTGCATAACAGCGGTCATGAGCTTCAATACTAGACTGGAAGTCGAATTCAAAAGAGAATACCAGAACGTGGAGTTACTGTTCAGGCAGAGACACTATCGGGTTGGGGGGAATGGCATCACTCCCTCCTTTAGTTTAACAAATTCCCGGTAAATACCTGTGCTTTTTGCTCCTTTTGTTGACGAGAGTTAGTGAAAGAAACATGATAGACCCCGAGCATGTGGTATTGGCACTAACAAGGTTGAGGGACTTCCTGGTCGAAAGAGGGATACGAGAGGTTTCAATGCCGTTCTACGATCCTAAAAGGGGCAGATTGAACCCAGGGAACTATACGCTATCCTACACGCGGTCTTTGAGCAAACGGAAATAATGGTCCATCTACACAAGAAGTATTACTTGAGTATCGCCTGAGATTTGGAGGGACGTGAGGGTCTTGAGTTAGGGGACATAAGGGTCTTGAGCTAGGTAAAAAGGGAACACGAGTCGGGCAGATGGGTCCTAACGTGATTGGCATGACAATTGAATCTTATAAAGGATTGATGTTGCTAAAACATAAGATAAATTTGTATATTTTAACGTCTAATTGAATCATTTTACAAGAGTTGTTAGGATAATGTTTTAAAGGTAATAAGGGGTGAGGTCTAGGTTAGACACGAGTGGGAAATATCTTGGTCTAAAACTGAGTTTTATTTTCACATTTTCACATTGATTTGAAAACTGAAGCGACAACTAAATCACAGTTGGACGAACAAGAGAACGAAGAAACTTCAAACAATTCTTCTTTAGTAGTGCCAGAGAAGGATTTTTTTGAGTGTTAATCTGGGAAAGGTATTTTTTGAGTTTGACTAGGTGAGGTATTTCTTGAGCTAGTGGTTCGTGAGATCTTTTGAGATAAAGAAAAAAGCAGCAATGGCAGATCGCTTCTGGAAGTCTGTGCCAGCTGCGTTCAGAAAAACCGCACTCGACGAGTTATACAAGCGCTTGAGGGACCTCGACTACACGCAAGTGGATGAGAGGCTCGCGGTAATGCTCAAAGCCATCCTGCAACTGGAGGCGCAAGCAGAGTGCAGGGAGTGAGCGACTGAAGCCGTGTTAATGGTGGGTTACACCTCGGATGGAATCTCGAACCCGGAGCAGACCAGATGGCTATCCTGGAATGTGGATGGAGGTGCGAGAGTAGTTAACTTTGCGAGAAATCCTGACTTGAGTAACACTACGGAATTTCCCCTTCCAGTCAGAACACCAGCAGGGGCAAGGACTCAATCCACCAGCAAACCACAATCGATGTTTCGGTCACAACAAACGGAAGAGTCAAGCCCTGATCTCAACGGTATGAAAAGGGAGTTAGAAAGCGCCCAGAGGGAACGGCACAAGGCCAACCTGGATAGGGACCGAGCGGTTCCGATAGGGATCAAGCCAAACTTGACCGGGACCAGTCCATACTTGAACGAGACAAAGCGACCTGCTGAGGGCAGAACGGGAGCAAGAGCTGAGACTACAAGAAAGTGAGGCAGGTTGTGACCAGATAAAGTCAGAAATTGAACGACTACAAAGGAGGCAGCAAGCAGTCGCGAGTGGCAAGTAGAAGAAGAGGGCGACGACTGAGTCAGTGGTGACTAGATCGAGACCAGATTCAAGGATGGAGGTGGATGAAGCACCCAGATCAAGCGGCCGCTTCAACCTGGACCGCGTGGCCCAAGAACATATGAACAAAGGCCTGGAGGCATGGACACCACCTGAGCCCGTCCCTTTCATGAGAAATCTAGAGACAAGTCGAGTCAGACCAGTAATGGATATTGCCCTACCCGGATTGTCGTCCAGCTCGATCAGTGGCAGTCAGACTGAAACGGGGACATCACGCCTCGGGGAGTGGGAGGAGAGATTGCAGGTGAGGAACAACCGCCCAACTGGATACAATATCCAGTGAGGAGCGTCGTGATTTCGAGCTACAAGAAGAACACTGATAGCGCATACAGTTTCAAATCATCATTTCGAAAGTCCGATTGAGAGTAGTGGTTGTTTCAGAGATTAGTTATTTTCATACGCTTAGACTTCCTTGAAACGTAACAATAAAAAAATTCTTAATCAGTGCTGTGAAAACTTTTGGTCGTGCGAAACAATAAACTTTCCAAAAAAAAACAATTTTTCTTGACGTGTCTAAGATTTAAAAAAATTCTTTGAGTTGACCAACGATTGTCAAGTTCGTTATCAAAGATCAATTATCATCATTGAGTTTTAATAGAAATCAGAACAAGGAACTAACTTGAATGATGTTGCTCTCAAAACAGCTATTATTTTCAAACGCTAATTTGATCAATGAAAAAAAAAGATTGTAGGATTCGAAATTGAACAAAATTGCTCGTATCAGGGCAAAATTCTGAATGTTTATACTGCCTTTTAAGGTCTATGGAGCGGCAAAAACATGAAAAAAAAAACTAAATTTATTTGTAAAAAAGTGAGAAAAAATGAGATTTTTTGTGAAAATCGTCCCACCCCACGCCATATGAAGTACAAAGTGAATGGTTTAAAGGTTTAAATCAATCTAGAAAAATAAAAATTATTTTCATATTTTCATAATCATTTTAGGACACATTATCAAGTGCGGATCAAGGATTTTCTCGAGGGGGAGGGGGGGGGGGCGGATTTTCAAAAAAGTTTCGAAAACTTTGACGACCTTCTTTTTTCTTTAGGTCAACCAAATTGATTTTCCGAGCTCTCCTAAAGCAGTAAAAAGACGCAGTTTTGGCCAAAACATCTGCACTGCAGGCAATTTTTTTGAAAAAAAAACAGTTCAAAAAAGTTGTTTTTGGGCACTTTTTGAAAAATTTTGACGAGAATATTGCATTTTTTTTGGCGCGGGCTCCCCCTCAAAATTAGTACATAATGGCGCCGAAGACACCCTTAGAAAAATTTTAGGGTTGGTCGACCAAAAATGGATTTCCTAGAAAGTATCAAAAGGGGGACGACCCTTTGGGTCGGCAGGGGGTCGAATCCCCCCTAAATCCGCCCCTGCACATAATGATTAAAAAACATCTTTATATAAATTTTTAGTTTATTTTTTCAAATTTCCTGTTAAATAAATCTTGTTGGGCTTTTTTTCTTTTCTTCTCGATTAGAGTTGTTTCATGAAGCATATTTTAAACTTTATTCACCAATTTATCAATACATTGCTTTAGTTTCATGGTTTACTTAGAAGAGTTATTTTTCAACTACCATGGTAACCTTTCGCCTAATGGGAAGGGATTTGTAACAAACTTTGGTTTCGTGGTAAAATTTTTTTCAAATGATTCAGATTACTTTCAGAGATTTTGATATTGACAGAAAAAAAATTAAAAATATACTTTTTTGTGACTAAATTATAGCAAACAAGAGATTTTAATTGATTATAATCAATTATAATTGGTTTAAAGAGTTTTTTGTATGAAGTTTGATCAACTATAATCTTTTATAAGAGATTATAATCCCTTGGAAAAAACCACGATTTTAATTGATTACAAATTCTTTAAACACCTATTTTTGGTAATTATTGTCAATTATTATTTTCAAAAAAATCAACACAATAATCAGTTATAATCGTCGATTACTTACGCCTAAACTTGGATGCGGGATCTCTCATCACTGAATTCCGAGCATCGAAATGGTTTTCAAATGACGATTCGAACAAAAATTGACAAAAAAGTGTAAATTGTTACCTATTTCACTTCAGCTGCAACTAAAAGACTTGTTATTTTTTAATAAGTTAGTACAAAAAAATTGCGATGTTGATGCTTGAACGATTGTATCTCTTCAATATACATCAAATTATAGTCTTACAGATGAAAAACCGAGATTTGAAATTCTGAAAACGAAGTAAAAAATTTTTTCTTTTTTCAACCGGATTGTAAGGATAGCAAATCTCTTGCACAAAGTTAATTCATTGAACATTCTTGCGACACTTTCAAATCACTTTTTAAATTGCTTTTCAAGAACTGGCTGATCACCAATTATGACAGACACTCCTGTGAAGGACACTTTTTCTGTTCTTGCTGTTGCTAAATAGTTTTTTTACTTCATTAACTTCCTTAGAAAAACTGTCATCTTTTTGTTTTTATGATTGTGTAGAAAGA